TCCCTACTCGTAGTCCTACTCCGACTGGGACTGCGACTACGACGACGATGATTACGACTAAGAACCACGACTACGACTACGACGACTACTGCTACTACTAGTACCAAGGACAACAGCGAGTACTGCTACGACTACTGCTGCTACCACTACCATTGCCACTGCCACTGCCGCTAGAAGTAGCGCCTTCCACTACGTCTACCACTCCCACTGCCACCAAGGGCTCGCAATAGGGGGGGGTTCATGATAGGGCTGCACGGCCTCTAGGGTTTAGAGGGGCTACGGTGTAGGGTTTATAGGGCCTGGAGTCGTGCTGGTAGGGTTGAAAGGGTTCGGATCTTATGGAGTTTGTCGGGCTTGTGACGGCTTGTGAGGTTCAATATTTACAGGGTTTGGGTTTCATGTTATGGGGTCAACATTGTGCAGGGTATAATACTTATGGGGCTTTGGGGTGGGTGCTGACGCTGCGTGATGGCGATAGAGAAGTGTCTTCATGACCAACAGACCAACACCCCAGCACCAGCACCAGCACCCTCATCATCATCATCATCATCATCACCATCATCATCATCGTCATCATGAACACCACCGCCATCATTATCATCATTGTCATCATCATCATCTTCGCCAGAGCGACCGCGCGTTCATCGGCAACAGGCGCTAAACGGTGGACTCCTCCACAACCAGTAACACCAACACCCCCAGATCCTGGATCCAGGCTTGATTTCCCAAACCTGACAACTACTGTAGGGGCCAAAAATAATTACCTACACTTTGTTGGGGGTTCCTTAGTATAATGGGCCCCAGAACCCCATCCTAATTATTAAGGCCCCTTTTGCCGACGAGCAACCCAATTAGGCCTTGCGGTGTTTGCATTGCTGCTACCAGCACATCGGGAACCACAAAGAAACTAGTTGATCGGATGCTTGGATAAAGCCTGAAACCCTAGTTCTTGAAACGGTGAAGCCCGACGCCAGCAAAACACGCAGCACCCTAAACCCCCAACCCCGAAACCCTGAACCCTAAACCCTGAACCCACAAGCCCTACAAGCCCTCAGCCACGGGCGAATCTTCCAGGTCCCCTCACAGTGTCCGTGGTGAACCCAAACCAGGCATGCTGTCCAATCATAAGGACCCTTAGGGGGATAGGGGGTAGGGGGCCTTAATACCTATAGTAAGGATTAATAAGGCCTGTTTAAGGAAGTATGGTCCCCTACTCCACTCCCCCCTACCCCCCAAAGGGTCCCCATAAGTCTAGCAGCAGGGGGCGATGCAGACTATAGGGGCCTAAATAAATACCAGTACAATCCTCAGGGTTTGTTACTACCATTACAGTTTAATATACACCAAAGCTCTATTCTAACGATCAAGGCCCCTACATTAGTCAAAGGGGTTTCAGTTGAAGCACTTCAGGCTTAGAGGTTCGGAAGTTTGGGGCTGGCTGCGGGGTTCAACAGATGCAAAAATATATATATATATATATATATATATCCTATATCTATATGTACATATATGTGCCACGGCATAAACATATACACACATATGCGTACATGTTATATTCTGGCGAGTCGTGGCTGCCATTACTACTGCCAGTTTTGTGATTATCATTCTGATTATCATGATGATAACCATGACAATGATAACGATGACAACGATTTTAATGATGATCTCTTTATGATGTTTAAGTTTTATGATGAGGACAAATATTATTATTATGACGATGATGATTATCATGATTGTTCTTGGCTCCTTTAGTATTGTTCTTATCCTAGTAATGACTACTATCCTTGCTATTCTTCTTCTTGATGCTATCATCAGTAGCAAGCCTGCGTCCTACATCTAACGCAGGCGGGAGAAGCTCTGAGACTGGAAGCCGATTTCTCGCAGCGAGCTCTCCGTCTAAGCTGTCACTTGAGGTTTAGGGTTCAGGGTTAACTCTCCATCTATATAAGCTTTGCCCGATCTTCGTCGAAGCTGATTTCTGATCGGGCTTCGGGGTTGCCGCCCGAAGGACGCCGCCCGGGAGCTTGCGGACTAGGCAGTGCGGCTACAGATGCCTTGATGTATGAAAAAAATGTGGCTCTGAGACTCTAGCCTTGGGAACTGGGGGCCCCAAACACCGAGCTCCAGCGGATCTGCCTAAGGTATACAAGGGTAGATGTGGCTGAGTAGCCCGCTGAGTCAGAGGCTCGATTTTCGTGAGGTGGGCCAGCATCGACGTCTCTAGAGCTTAGTGATTTGATTGATCGTCCCGATTCCATTGTATCAGCATCTTCCAATGCCTCTTGCTTAACCCCACAAGTTCTCGCAGGTCAGCAGGCCCCTGAAAGAGGGAGCAACATACGCCTCGCTGCGAGCCTCAGCTGAACCCTAAACCCTAAACCCTGGGTGTCGAAGGGTAGTCCCAAACCTGCCACAAACCGACTGCATCGATCTGAGGTGGGACCAAACACTGCCGGTGTCGAGAAAGTCCAATGCAAGGAAAACTGTCGGCGAAGGTACCCAGGGCCATAGTGCGACGGAGAAACTGCTTGCGCTCGTACGGTCTTCTTGCCTCACAGCCGACTTGGGTCTGTGGGCTATTCAACCGTTCTCGAATGCGCAGCAGAAGGGTTCTCGTTGTAAAGGTGGGGTCCAGGAAGCCGTGCTTTGAGTCGAAGCGTTCGCGAAGCTTTCGCGCAGGCTCGCGCTGCGTCGTGGGAGCTTCCGGGAAAGGGGTGCGCATACTACTAGTAACTAGTACTTCTACTACGACAATTACTGCCACGACCACTACTACTGCTACTACTACTACTACTACTACCACTACTAATTACTACTGCTGCTACTCCTACTACTTCTACTTCTACTTCTACTTCTACTTCTACTTCTACTTCTACTTCTACTTCTACTGCTACTTCTACTTCTACTTCTACTTCTACTACTACTACTACTACTACTACTACTACTACTACTACTACTACTACCACTACCACTTTTACTACTACTACTACTACTACTACTCCTCCTGCTGCTGCTGCTGCTCCTGCTGCTGCTGCTGCTGCTGCTGCTGCTGCTGCTAGGACACACGCTCGTAGGAGGCCTGGTGTTTTTCATGGGTTCAAAACAGGACGCAATCTTCAGGTTTGAGCACCCTTATGGCATTTTCGGCTGCCACGCAAGGTGGAATGCGCAAAACATGGTGAATTCAAGCTCATGAAGTGCCGAAACTACTGTCAGGGCCAACAACAACGCGCATGAGGCAGCAGCGGGTGGCGGATATCACGAAGTAGTTTTTGTAGGTTTTATGTTTCTGGTGCTGCGGGCGCTTTACGCAAAAGGAAAGCACTATGTGCACAGTCTGCTGTGCAAAGAGGCAAAAACTCTGTAAATACCAGTGTTTTGGGCATGCTCGCCAAAGGCATAGATGCTTGTGACAACTTGTTTTGCTCCACATCCTTGCGCAGTATGTTGTACATGGATGCTTGTGACAACGTGTCTTGCTCCACATCCTTGCGCAGCATGGTGTGCATACCAGTGTTTCGGGCAGGATCTGCTCACCAGAGGCAATAACATGAACGTTATCATCCTTTGCCACCCCGCAACCCCCCAAAATCCCGCCCCTACTGTGCAAAATGTCTTTTTCCGAAAACACGCGTAGGAGCAAAAGTGCCAAGAAAACCGGTGTTTGGTGCATGCTCCCCAAAGGCAATAACATGAACGTTATCATCCCCCCACTCCCAATCCGCCAAAACCCCGCCCCTACCGTGCAAAATGGCTCCGAAGCGCATGCAAACACCAGGCCTCCTACCAGCGTGTGTGGTACTACTACTACTACCACCACTACTACTACTACTACCACCACTACTACTACTACTACTACCACTACTACTGCTTCTACTCCTACTACTACTGCTGCTGCTACTACTGCTACTGACTACTACTACTACTACTCCTGCTGCTACTACTCCTGCTGCTACTACTACTCCGACTTCGACTCCTAGTCCTACTCCGACTCCTACTCCGACTCCGACTCCTAGTCCTACTCCTACTCCGACTTCGACTCCGACTCCTAGTCCTACTCCTACTCCGACTTCGACTCCGACTCCTAGTCCTACTCCTACTCCGACTTCGACTCCGACTCCTAGTCCTACTCCTACTCCGACTTCGACTCCGACTCCTAGTCCTACTCCTACTCCGACTTCGACTCCGACTCCTAGTCCTACTCCTACTCCGACTTCGACTCCGACTCCTAGTCCTAGTCCTACTCCTGCTGCTGAACCAGGACGTGCCTAGTATCGGCCTAGCCGATGATTCATCATCCCCATCACAACCACTAGTAGCATTGTCATTATTGTCAATATAGGCATATCATCCAGCTCTGACATGGCCCGGCAGGTCGAGCGGCAGCTGAACGTGAAGGGTGCCGCCGGCAGCAGCAGAAGCACTGCTACATTGTTACCCCAAAGCCTTGGCGTTTAGTGTCTGACATATTGTGCCTTAGATCCAGAGACATCGACTATGCTTCAGGAGATTCTGACACAAGCACTTGGATGGCTACAAAGCTCACTATGTTTCACAGTGTAAGCTCGCGAAGTTTTCGATCCTCTTTGTGGCAACCTTGGCTCGCGTGCATGCCGCCAGGCGGGCTCAACGATATGAGTCATCCGCCACTGCAAAACAAGCTCGCAGCCGTATTGCTTGGCAGAGTGTATGCATGACGGCACCCAGAGTTGTTGTATCGAGGCAGCTTGGATTGGAGAGCGGAGTGTGCACGAAGATGGCTTAGATCAACATGTTCAGCATTTAGAAGAGCCCTCAACAAGTGTTCGTTCACTGCTGTTCGAAGGCTGCGCGGTCGAAGCTGGCCGTTCAACCTCTCCCCCAATGCAAACATGCATGCTATATCAGATTCCGAGCGTGCAGTGCTGCAGTTGGCTGAAACAGCTGATGTTAGCGAAGTTGTTAGCGAATGTTGTTAGCGAAGCGGCGCTGCGGACGAGTAGTGCCACCTCTCCCACAGCATGGGTTGCTGTCAGACTGGACCTCCAGCAGGCGAAAATGCTCGCTCTGCGAGTGGCTCCGCGAGCAATCTGTCGCAGTTGGAGGACGTCGACGCTGTTGTGGCGGTGACGCAGGCCAGTGTGAACGCCACAATGATGATGTACCTGTCTAAGGCCTCGCTGAAAGAAGTCATCAAGTGCTATGCCTACAAGCCTCATTCCAAGGGTGAGATCGTGGAGGTCGACTACAAGACCCTCGTGGATCAGGCCGGTGGTTCGGACCCCTTCAACTTGACCGACGGTGCGGACCAAACAGACAAGAACGTGCTCAACTTGGCCAAAGTCAACTTTGTTGGAGCCTTCAAGGCCAAGGGCGGCCTGCCAAGAATACCGCTGGCCCATCTACCGTCCATAGTCACGCTGGGCGAGCATTCGGACAGTCGGGTCTCCTTCAACTTGACGACGTCCGAATTCCAGATATGTGGCATCACATACGCTGGCTTCAACCAAGCTGTGGCGATCAACAAGTTCCAACCTTCAGGTGCCAGTGCGAAAACCGCATGGTACTACAACTTTTTGGTGGACCTCACCTTGAACACTATCGACCCCAACGCTACAGTCCCGGACGCTGTCCGAGCACGCATGAAGCAGTTCATAGAAAAGTTTGGCCCTACGTCTTTCAGCATGAGCCAGCTTTTCCTAGATCTGGAGACAGCCTCGCTTGTGGCCAATCCGGTGATAAAGGGCGTCAGCGACAACAGCGACTTCGCCCCAGCCTGGGCGATGATGTCTAAGGTCTTCACAGGAGCTTACTTCAGCCAATTGCGCAAGACTGGCAGGCCCATCCTTGGCTACTCCGTCACATCGAAGGTTGATCCGAATCCGTCCGCTACGGTTGCATTCAGGTCACTGGCCTTTTCCACGGCACCATACCGGCTTGGCGGCCACAATGCTCATAACCCAGCTTCTTGCTTGGCATACAATCTCTCCACAAGAAAAACGCCTCCTAGCATTGAGGTTTTTCCGTGGAACTGGGTGGACGCCGATGACGTCAGCCAAATATCAGGAGTCCTGTCAGTGCGACGCAGCTTTGTAACGAGCTACCTCACGCAGATGACGGCGACGCCCTGTCGAGGGCTTTGCTTTGAGACCTCGTGCACGACACATCATAGTGGAGAGAACATCTACGTATCGACTGGAATTGTCCGGTCGCATCATCCAGCCCATTTCGTCGCCCTGGACAGGCCAACACCAGCATGGGGAGGGGGTTTGACGACTCACACCTTATCCTTCAACCATATTTCCAAAGACCAGACGCACGACACAGGCGGCCAGCTGTACGTCTACATGGACTTCAACTATCACCTTGAGGGGTCGATCGTTGTCAAGGGAAGCCAGATTGTGATTACCGCGATAGCAAAGGTTGCAATGGGCTTTCACCACCATGAGTATGGTGTCTCCTACACCGACTTGCCACTGAAGTGCTACTACTGGAAGAGAAAGGTCATCACATTTGACTTGGCCGTCAGCGACGATGCCAAGCTCACCGCGACTGAAACACATGTCACCCACAACGACTCCGCGGCTTGGGACTTCCATGGGAAGGGCATCGTGGGTATTGCTGGCCTCGAGGATCATCTGAAAGATGGCTTGTCAAAGGCTCAGGGCCAGGTGGACAAAAAACTCGACGATGCATTCGAGACTTTTGCGTCGGATTTGGCAGACAACTTCAACCAGTATCATCAGTGGGTCTTTCCCGGTGCCGACTCCTTCCTCATGTCTCACGTTTTCTTCTCCGACAGCGGGGACCTAGTGACTCAGTTGAGGTATGCGAGCCCAAGCATGCGCGATTCTATCGAGGACGCGAGCCGCATGATCTCGCCTGCGATTCAGCCAGCGCCGCCTCTGGTGGAGGAGGTCACCTACAACATTGCTGCCTCTGCAGAGCTTATGACGAACTATGTCCAGTCAGACATCCTTCAGCCGCAGAAAAAGTTCCAGGCGCTGCAAACAGATGCGGGCCTCGGGCTTCTCTTCATGATTGGCACGGAAGATGACTTCAATGTTGTCGTGGAGGAGTCAGGGAAGACAATGCATGGCTGGACAGTGCGCAACTTATCAGAGAAGCTCATCAAGCACAGCTTCCCAAAAAGGGGGGGGGCCGTTAGCACTTTTGCAGTCTCGCAGGTGGCCGGGAAGGGCAGGTCGCGGGAGATCCACGTCGCGATGTGCGTCAAAGCCGAGGGCACCTCCAACCTGTACCTGAGTCTCCACAACTCAGATGTGGACCTTGGTTGGACGAAGGATATCCGTTGGTTCCATGCACCCTTCAATGCAGTGGACAGCTCTGGCAAGCCGGTGCCAATTCCTCAGCCACTGAGCATTGCGAACATCATGCTGACCCAGGCCTCTGACGGCGAGCACATTGTCGTGGACATCCTTCGGAACCCGGAAGCAGCCCAGCCTCTTCTGGAACGCTACTGGATAGATGTGAGCAAGTCGCAGCCTTTGTGGAGGAAGCACCAAATGGCCGCTGACTTCGAGGCTACGACCTACGAGTCTGCCCTTGGCCGGGCCAAGGGTGACTTCGTGGACGGCATCTACACCATGGGCCGGGTGAACCACGTGGCGCAATTGGTCTATGTGCCCCTCTATAATGCCTTCGACCCTCTTGTTCCGTCGGTCGCCTCCCGACTGCGGCTCCCTGGGGATCTGCTGCCCGACGCGATCGCCGCGGCGCGGCACAGCAATGGCGACAACGACTCCGACTTGTACGTCGCCTCGCAGGGAGGTCTTTACTACTTCGCTGCCAGCAACCAGGGCAACGATGCCGTGGCAACGAAGGTCGTCTCAGAACCCACACTCTTGGCAGACGTCAAGAAGCTCTTTGCAGCGGAGGAGAAAGGTGACGTCACAGTTTGGGGTCTGAATGGCAGCAACCAAGTCTTTTACCTCAAATGCAAGACGGACGAGGTTGCGGACTCTGATGCTTGGAGCGTCCCATTGCCCATCGTCACCAGTGTTGACGCCATCTCGCCCTACGTAGATCGCAAGTTCTTGGCAAACACCTTCTTTGCACACACGGGCAACAGCTTGAACAAGTACATCAAGACGCCTGGCACGGGGCTCTGGACATCGAAAAGCATCACTTTGCCACCAAGAAGCTACAAGCAGGACTCACGATCCTTCCAGAGCTTCACCACGGAGGTCAAGGTGACAAACCAGACGACCGGCATGGCAGCTGCCAAAGTAGCAGTTGAGCTGACTTCGACCACTGTGACCTCGGTAAGTATCAACCACCTCTACTACCAGGCATGGCAGCCTAAAGATTTCTTGTGAAAGACTACCGAGAGGTGTTGTCTCTGCGCAGCCCGGAGTGAGAGATTCTTTGCAAAGTGTCTCGGAGTCCTTCCTGCTCTTCCTATTTCTCTCGTCCTTAACCTCCCCCATGTCATGTCTGAGTCCGCACATGTTCATCCAGCACGATAGAAGTCTGCTCTCTGCTGCTCATCCCAAGCCCCAAGTTGGCCGACTGATCGCAGCGGTCTCGACCTGAAGCCCGAAGCACCAAAACACATCCCTAAACCCTGAACCCTAACCAAAGCCCAAGATGCCAGAGCAATTCATCCGGAGAATGCTGATGAACGCTTTGTGACATGTTGTGGTCGAGAGGGCTGGGTGCTTCGCAGGTGGGCCCTCAGCCGGTGACGGTGCAGACAGACCAGGATGGGACCATCACCATCGTGGAGTTGACCAACAGCTTAGTGGCAACGCGTTTTCATGTTGCCATTGCGACCAACATGTTGGGAATGGGAGGCTTACCTATGCAGGTGAATCCCATGGATGCTGCCTTCAAGCGCAACTCTGCACTGAATAGCAAGGAGAAGTTGCGAGATGCCAAGGTCACGGACATGCATGGCAATCAGAAGCCCTGGATCCCGCCAGACACACCTGATGACACCCTGGACCAGATCGCCAACCTCAACAAGAACTTGGATGAAGCGAGCAAGGACGTGGGGAACTCGGCCTTGCCACTAACGGCTCGCAGGCTTGCGCACACCCGCAGCGCAGCGAAGCTGAAGGCGTCAGGGATAGGCCTAAATCTGGGCTCGGTCAGGATGGTCGACGTTGGGGACCTCTTCAATTTCTTGGGGTCCGCATTCAAGGCGACGATCAAGTTCGTGAAGGATGAGATCTCAGGTGCCTGGCACATACTGGCTATTATTGAGGGCAGGATTTATGCGGCTTTGATGGACTCCCTCGAAGCGATCGGGGGAGCTATTCGTTGGGTCTACAACCAGATCAAGATGGCCATTGAATGGGTGATTATGTTTTTGGAGTTCCTCCTCGGTTGGCAAGACATTCTGGTGACACACCGGGTGATCAAGAAGTTCATCTCGCTGACTGCCTCCGAGTTCATCGATGACTTGGCCAAGGCTAGGGCTGCCACCAAGAAGGCACTCGATGACTTCAAGAAGAACATCACGGAGTTCACGGGCGTGAAGCAGGGTCTTAAGACGACCAATGCCGAGGCACTCAAGACCCCAGATCCCAGCGCCAAGCAAAACGCCCCGGGCCACTTGGGCCTTCATCACTTCAAAGGCAATGCGACCCGTGCCTCCACAGCGAAGAAAGTGGACCCCGGAGTTCCATCGGCGCTGCAGTTGCTGGTCAACCTCTGCGAGTCGGCGGAAGGAAGTATGGAGGATGCAGCGCAGCGAATCAAGACCCAAGTGATTGACCAGTTTAGCGACTTAGACCTCACCACGGTCATGGAGCGAATTGTTGGCATCATCTCCATCGCTCTTGTTGACGGCGTTGAGGGCATGATCTTGGAGCTCTTCACTGTTTGTGAGGCCTTTGTCGGACAGTTGTTGGGCATGCTGGATCACACCATTGACATCCCCGTAATCTCTTGGCTCTATAAGCTCTTGACCGGAGATGATCTCTCCCTCCTTGACCTTGCGTGCCTGATTGCGGCTATCCCGACAACTGTTTGCTACAAAGTCCTGATGGGCCATGCCCCCTTCTCGAGGAGCGATGCGTGGACGCAGCGTATGCTGGATGCCAAGACGGTTCGGGATTGGAACAATGCGCCTTATGATCAGCAGCAATTGGAAGGTGCGTGCCTCACGGGTGATCAATCGAAGAAGAAGGCAACGCAGGCCTTGGCACTCGGCGCTGGAGCCATGGTCGGAACCGTAATCAGGCTTTTTTGCACTTCAGTCCGAAGGGAGATGCAGACGGAAACTGAATGGGGTGACGATGAGATTAAAATGATGGAGTCCTTCAATTGGATTGGGAGTATGGCCGCTTCCGCACCCTCCTTGAATGTAACTATGTTTGACAAGGTGCCCGACACGAAACAGTGGTATAATGGCATGAGCCATGTCCTCACCGCTTGGGGTAAAGTCAGGGGCTTCCTGAGGATCTTCTACATAACCAACAAGGACAAGCGCATTGGCAAAGCGTTCTCCACTCTGTCAACCACCGAAAACTTGCTGAAACTGATCCCGCACATCGTGACACCCATCGAGCAGAATGCCTGGTCAGCACACGTCGTCATGCAGACCTTGGGCAACGTGAGCAATGACTGCGGCGGCATTTTGAGCTTACCTCAAGCCCTGACGCCATCTCCCGGCAAAGAGGAGCTTTTCCAATACGCATGCATGTTTCGACTGAGCTACGGCGTGTTGATGATTGCCTACCCTGTCACTTGGTTGTCAGGGGCGTGAGCACGAGTCCAAGCGTATCTTGTGACAAGTGAGAGCGCTCCGGCCTTTTAGACAACATCCACTCTTAGACTCTTGGAGCTTGCCAATGAAGCAGGCGGAGAATTTTTTTTTAAGCTTCGGGGCCATCCTTCTTGCAAACCCCATGGTACAGGACTGAGTCAGGTTCCCTCGTGCTCTCAAAAAATGATGAGACCGGGCTTTTGCTGACCAGCATGTTGCATGCCTCCGCTTCTCGAGGCTCTTGAAGGGGCCTGGCACTTTCTGAGGTGCCTGCAGAAAGGGCCTAAGACAGGCTGTGTATTTCTGCAGGACATCCCTGAGAGCCATGCCCAATTCCATCCCATTGTTGGAGCGCCCAGCAGAACTCAGCGCTGTAAAGATCTTACGACTTATGTACTAAAAAAAGCATATGTTGACTCTTCCTTCTTGTGATCACTACGGAGTTTGCAGAGAAAATAGATATATTAGATTTCAAAATCACGAAGGCTAGCGTAGCCAATCTTTTATTTCTATTATGGTGATAGCCGCGCGCCAAATTACGCAATTCTGATATCATTTCTAAAATAAGGCGCCGCCTCTTGAGAATAAGATACAGGAAATATCGTCCATATCAATATTTTCGGCACTTTGAGTGCAGGAGGTGAAATACAAAATAAAATAAATTATAGATCATATTTTCTTTTTTTCGATATCTAAGATATATTGAAAAATCTCATATGAATGATATATCGATCTTCATAAGATGATAATAGAATACGTATATGTATTTCTTTTCTATTTGCAATCTCAAATAGAAATTCATTCTTCTAGAATAATGGTTCGGAGAATTATATTTATTGATTTTCTTCTATATTCTTTTTAATTTCGATTTTCATTCTATCTTTATTATCAATCTCATTAATTCTCATTTTCGAAATAAAGCATTTATAAGAAAGAATCAATCCGAGAATCATATGAT